TTTGGTTATAGAGACAAGGGTTAAACATTTCGGTGTTTTGGTCGACGAATTCGCTAAGGCGTTTACGTTGTTCGTCCAGTGTACCTTCTGTATCTAATCCTAATGACTCGAGTTCGCTTGTTATTTGCGCTTTGTTGAGTCGGTAAATCCACTCTTTCATTTTGATAGCTTGTGTCGTTTCTCTCGGTTCTAAGCCTGTTCGGGCGCCATAAAACGATCTGACCTTTCTTCGCGCGGAATAGCTCGCCGGAAGGAGCGGTGTGACAAAAGGAGGGTCCGGGAATGAGAAATGACACAGAAGAAAAAAACGCAATAGATTGAGAAACTAATAAAAGAATATATTGCAAACAAGAAAAGTATTTACACTTAGCGCGGAATTCGCGCGCGACTAGAGAGAGTGGATTTGTCGACGTCGGGTTCGCGTGTACCGGGCGCGTATAAATGGCCGGTGGTTAGTCGGCGCGGCGCACGGGCCGGACGCGTGTGTGAACGAGGATCTCGGGGCGGGACGCCCGGCGGCCGAATATGTTCGGCAGGGACGAGACAGATCTCGTTCCCCGGAAGAACGCCGGTCGTTGCGGTGGTAGAGGATGGGTGGTTCCGTCTGCTCGTCCCGAGGAGTGCGACCGAGAATCTTCGGTGGAGGCCCAGCAAGCTGCGACCCCCGGGGTTGCGGCTCCTCGGGTCGGCGACGTTTCGGTAAGGTTGCGGTGGCCGAGAATTTTCGGCGGAGGCCAAGCAGGCTGCGACCCCAGGGTACGAATAACTCGACGAGGATCAGCGGTTCGCCAAGTTCTCCGGATAGAGCAATTCTCTTCAGCGATCTTGGGCTTTTATAGCTCCAAATCGCTGAGTTCGGGTCAGTTCAGGACCGTTCGCGTAGTTCCGGCGCTGTTGGTTTTTTCGTTGAGCGGGAGCGCGCTGTACTGTGGCGCCGCCGAGCGGCTTTCGCACGGGCGGTGCTGGCGGTGCTGGCGGGCGCCGCGCAGGCGTCCGCGGCGGTCCTCGCTGACGTCGCAAGTTTGAACGGCTTGGCTGTTCGCGCAATTCGCTTGGTGTGATTTATTGGCGCTGAGCGCCCCGCGTCTGACTGGTGTTTGTCAGGGACGATTTGAGAGGGATCGTCACATACTTAAAAAGACATATACATGTCTTTTAATGGTGTCCAGTAATAACTATATAAAATCTCGTAGCTGGTAGAGCAGTTTATACTGAACAGAAAAGTCATCTCCATTTTGCAGAAATCGCAATCGTTAACGAGATATTAATTTTTGAAGTTTGGCGAATAATTTTTATTTGTCCGGCCCCCTCTACCGGACAACCGCTATATTTTTTTAAGACTGTTTTACAGGTTTATTTGTTTAATAAAATGCTATTTTAAAATATTTAAAAAATTTTTGAAAAACATTTGTGTAACAATTCTCAAAAAAATTTAATATTTTTTAAATTAAAAATAATTTAACTTAAAAAACTTAAATAATCTAGACGTTTCCTATAAAAATAACTTATCAAAATAATTTTAAAATATTAAAAATTAAAATTTTTA